CTCTACTCTGACTGCTGCTACAGCTGAAGCTGTCTTTATCCAGAAGCTGCTATAGTCTGATCTATTTCTGCTTGCCTGTTCCCCCAGTCTCTCTCTACCTTGCATTCCTCACTCAGGATTCCTCTAGCCACTTCAGTAAACCAGAGCTTAAGTCATTTTTGAAGTTCCTTCCTCTCCCTTCAGATTTCATGCTACTGTGGAGGGTGGATAATGAAGAAAAGGGGCTAAGTCTGCTCTAAATTAGAAAGTGGCATTAATGCCACCCAGAGTCAGGGAGGGACTGGCTGGCTTTGGAACTGGCTTATGTAGACCAGATTAGACTTGGAACTCACAGAGATCTACCTGCCTCTGCCTCCTGAGTTCTGGGATCAAGGTTTTGCTATACAGCCCTACCTAGCCAGCAACTCACTTTGCACCTGAAACACTAGGCTGGACTTGAACTTTGGTGATCCTCTAGCCCCTGCCTCCCAAGTGTTGGGATACCAGGCATGCACCACCACAATCAGCTCAATCTCCTTAAAGTAGTGGCTGCTCTCCTTAGCCAGGGTGGGGGTGTGAAATAGGAAATTTAGAGTCAGACATCTAGGATCCCAATCTAGCTGTGCAGCCATGGCTGTGTTACTGTCTCTGAGTCCCCATATTCCAATGTGTAGAGTAAGGGCTGAATGTCATCATCTGGGCCAGAGGGACAGCTGGGTTGGGGTGGAGGTAGGGGACTATCCTGCTGCATGTGGAAGAGCTTTATGCACAGTTTGGGTCTATATAGTAATGCTCCGTGTAGGGCAGTGGTAGGTCACAGCTCGTCACGCAGATACCATGCCTGGTGCTGCCCAAGATCTGGATCATAGCCAGAAAGGTGGGCTGGCACCTTTATCTGCAGATGTTGAAGAATCACTTCAGGTTATTTAGGGCAGTGAGTTCCTGGTGCCCTTACTCCCCCTTGAGAGCAAGGTTCGAGAGTCTAAGACACATTCCTGAAGACTGAAAGGGCTTCCTGTGTAGGAAACTGGTGGGGGCAGGTAGGGAGCTTGAGGGACAGAGAAATAGAGAAATATGACCCAGAGTTGGCAGGAAGAATTCCAGAATCTGGGTATGGCTAAGGAAGGAGGCCTCTGACCTAAAGTGAAAGAGAAGCTCAGAGTGGGAAGACCCACCCCCACCCCCACCCGGACCTCCATATCTCCTCCCACCTACCACCTCAGGGATATGAGGAAGAGAGAGTCCCTGCCTTACTGCCTTGTCACTATAGAAGCCTCCAGCCCCACAGGATCCTAATCGAAGTGACATCTCTCAGGGAATAAACTCCTGGCTCTAATGGGACTGGGGCCTTGTGTCTCCCTGAGTAGTGTGGAGTCTCAGGCAGAGAGTGCCTAGGAGTTAAGCATCATGTGGAGGGCTCCTTGCACTTCCCTGAAGTCTCCCTGAACTAGGTGCAGATCTGTCTCCTAGGGACCTCCAGTAGCCATTGGCCCTGGCCTAGTCCTATGCCAGGCTGGTCCTATGCCAGGCCAGAACCACTGTTCAGAAGGGCTCACAGTCCTACACGTTTTCCTCTCGTGACTGCTGACTCCCATCCACCTTAAGCCACTGCTATCAAATCCCTATGAGGTAGTCTCTCTCTCTCTCTCTCTCTCTCTCTCTCTCTCTCTCTCTCTCTGTCTTTCAGAGCCAAGGACATATGAGACATCCAGGGGAGGGCCAGTACCTGGGATCCATGACCCAGTTTAGGCCCAGAATTCACCAGGCTAATGGTGACAACTTCTCTCACTGGAGCTCAGAATAACAAGGTTACTCGAACTCTGAGGCCCTATGCCCTGGCCCTAAGTACACCTGTCACTCTCCATATGCCCACAATGCTGGTCACACCACTCTGCATGGCCAGTGGAAAGCTCTGGTTCCACATCTGCCTCCCCTGACCAACTGTGAGTGACCAAGGGCAGGCACCAAGCATTCCTCTGAGGGTATCTCAGCATCCTGCGTTGGGCCAGCCTAGGGTTGGAGGGAGAGGTGATGGGTAAACAGATCCCTGGATAGACATGGCTTAATTTGGCCTGGCTTAACAGCCTGGATTGTTCTACTAGGTTTGGTGACTTCTAAGTTGGTGACCCCCCCAAACTAATCTGGCTGACACTGGCCCTTTTCCCTTTCGGTACCCATTTCTGACAACTGAGCTGTTCCCACCCCTACCCCATCAAGAACTTGCCTAGCCAAAGTCATCCATGCCATCTCCCTCTCTCTTGGTCCCCCAAACCCATCCATCACTAAACCTTGATGGTTCTGCTACATAAAGGGCTCCACGGGCCGGGTGTGGTGGTGCACACCTTTAATCCCAGCACTTGGGAGGCAGAGGCAGATGGATCTCTGTGAGTTCCAGGACAGCTGGGGCTATGGCTTCGGGGAGACCCTGTCTCAAAAAGACCAAAAAAAAAAAAAAAGGCTCCAGAAGCTGTTTTTCTACCAAACCTCTTTCTTTACCATGTAACCCTAAATTTCACTCTTGCCCTTAATTATTCTTACCCAAAGTGCTGCTGTGCGGCCCATCACCTTTGGAACAAAGGCCAAAGTTTCACTTGGTGGGAAGGCCCCCACAGGGGATGCCAACTCCCCTCAACCAGGCTTGTCCACACCCTGCACAGGGCTCCACTGGCCCACTGTCTGGGAGGCCTCTGGGAGGCTGAGAAGGAAGCGCCACCACCACCACCTCTAGCTCCTCCCACCCACCACCTCAGGGATGTGAGCAGGAGAAGGTGCCTAGTGGGAAGGGCCCCACAGGCGATTCCAGCTCCCCCAACCAGACTCTGCCCATGCCTACATAGGGCACATTGCCACTGTCCAGCAAGGCCCTAGGCAGTAGCTCCAGCTGTGGCTCTCTACCTGGGAGACCCTTTCTCCTCCAGGATCCAATATCAATGTCATGGCTCTGGAACTTTCCTGACTTTTCCTGTCAGCTCACCATTCCCTCATCCAGCATCTTTTTTTTTCTTGCCCCCACCTCATACTAAGGGTTGGACCCAGGGTCTCACACATGCTAAGCAAGCGCTTTGCCACTGAGCTACATCCTTAACCTTTTTGTTTTTGTTTTACATTTTTATTTTCAAGACTGGATTCTCACTAAGTTGCCCAGGCTATCTTTGAATTCACTCTCTAGCTCAGGCTGGCCTTGAATTTGAGATCTTGCCTTATCTTCCCGAACTGCTAGGATTACAGGCCTGTACCCCACCCTCGCCTCCCCATCTCATCTTTCCTCTGGCTTCTTTTTTATTTTCATATGTATGCGTGTACTGCCTACATGTACCTAAGTGCACCTGTGTCATGCAATGCCTGCAGAGGTTAGAAGAGGGTGTTGGATCCCCTGGAACTGGAGTTAGATGGTTGTCAGCTGCCATGTGGGTGCTGGGATTTGAACCTGGGTTTTCTACAAGAACAGCCAGTGCTCTTAACTGCTGAGTCCAACCCCTCCCCTGGCTTGATACACCCTGTACTCACCTCTGTAAGGCCTGTTACCATCTTAGAACAAATTCATCTCTGTGTAGAGTTATTTAGACAGACATCTCTTTCTTTCCTGACAGGCAGACAGAACTCTCTAAAAACATGAGCCCCTGAATACAGCCTGAATATCATACACTGTTGATAAATAGTTGATGAATAAATGTGACTTTGTGGGTGTGGGCAGGATCTTCTTATATAGCCAAGGCTGATCTTGAATTTTGAGCAATCCTGCCTTAGCCTCATGAGTGCTGGGATTACAGGCGTATACTACCACATGCAGCTTAAATGAGTGACTTTCTAACCCCTATAGCACATGCTCCAAAAACATCCATCCGTCAGATATGCTGTTTGTTGCTCAGTCTCAGCCCTGCAAGCCCAGCCCCAAGTGTGTTGGGGAGGAGCTGGCCCTGACCAGAGTATTCCTGACTGTCCCTTCTTTCTCACCACAGGGTCAGGTTCAGCATCCTTGTCCTCACAGGCCTTCATGCCCTGGGGGTATGTTTCAACCCCATCTAACACCCATCTACATTTTCTGAGTCTGGTTCAATTCCAAAGTCAGATTCAGTCTTGGAGTTGGGGGGGAAGACTGACTCTTACTGGTCTCCAGCCCCTAGCATGCTGGGGAGCAGTAGTGTGTGCAGTGGTTGTCTTATAAATGTCATCTAAAGATCAGGCGCTTACAGGGTGTCAGATCAGGGTAGCCTCTGGCAAAGCCACCAAGCTGGGCTTCAGTGGGTATTTTTGGAAGTCACCCCCAGAACCTGGAGTAAGGATGCCTCCAACCTTCCCCCACAGGCCTGCGTGTGGATCTGTTTTCCCTGCTAGCATGCAGCTTGTGACCCCCTTGTGCCTGTCAGCAGACGTCACCCTCACAGATGCATTCACCCATTTCCCCTAGAACACTGCCTTGAAGCCAGCTGCCCCTACAGTGCTGGCAGCCAAACCTCTGCAAAGTCACACCCCAGCCAGGGAGAGGCAGAAATCCTGGATGGGAGTCCAACCACCAAGGGAAGAGGGGCCACCTACTGTCTCTCAGTTGGAGTGCTGTGCACTGTGCTGACCCAACCCTGAAAAGCAGGAGCCTGAAACACCAGGCAGGTAAGGCCTTTGTCTGGAAGACTATCCCAGGAAGACAGCTCTAGGCTGGAGAAATGTCATGAATGTCCCATTACCAAATATCCCCTCAGGTAGAGCCCTCAGAATTGAAAAGAACTCTAGAGGAGACCTGAAGACTCTTGGATCCCAAGAGATCCCAGAGAAAGGCATCCAGGTGCAAAACAAAACATTGTTTTTACAATGCTAAGGGCACATGCTAGGCTAGTGCTCCGCCCTTGAGCTATAATCCCCAGCCCTGAAAAACAAAACAAGACAGTATCAGGGGAGCCTCAGATCCCAAGACCCCATTAAAGGGACCCTGACTCAAAACACCCTACAGAGGAAAGCCCACAGACCCAGAGTCCTTTAAAGGGACCCAGATCCAGTTTGTGGGAGCAGCGCCCATCCACACTAACCTGGCCCTGTGGAGGTCTTGCCCAGGCTGAGTTGTCGAAGCCTCCGCTGGTGGGCACGCCCCCCACAGTGCACTTGGGCCTGGGCGGCAGAGTTCAGCTGGATGTTGCAGACATCACAGACTGTGTAGGAAGGTCGTTTTCTTTCCCGCTTAGGCTTAGACAGTTCTGGGGTGTGAGGGGGACACTCAGCTTCTGCAGATGTGGGGGGCTCCTTTTCACCTGAGGGGGATGGGCTCAGTGGCCGCTTCATACCTGAGCAGACAGAAGGGAGACAGGTACATGAAGGGCCAGTGATTGTGAACACAGAGAAGGAGCAGGAGAGATTGAAGGACGGAGTTACTAAAGAGCTGTATCCCAGGTAACCACACCTAACTTTCAGAGATACCCCCACCCCAGCCCATGTCAAGAGGGAGCAAGATGGGTTTGTTTCAGGCAGAGTGGCATTAAAATACAGGACCATGGAGCTGGAGAGATGGCTTAGCAGTTAAGAGCACTGACTGCTCCTGCAGAGGACCCGGGTTCAATTCCCAGCACCCACAAGGTGGCTACGAACCGTCCTTAACTCCAGTTCCAGGGGAATCTGAAGCCCTCTTCTGACTTCCGCAGCCTTGCATGACACGGGTGCATTCACATACATGCAGGCAATATACTTATACACATAAAATAAAAATATTTGAAATACAGGACCACTGGGAAGAATGTCAGAAATGGTTACATACTGAGAGGCCAACAGCATCCCAGGGACTCAAGGGCTGAGAACAGAGATCAGAGAGGGAGATGGAGGTCGGGAGACAAGGTAGCTCTGAGGAAACACAGCAGCAAGGCCGGTAGGAGTGCCGTTCTCAGCCCAGAGGCAGGAGCTGACAATTCTGTGACAGACAGGCATGTGGCACTTACTGGAGACACAGCAGCCTGCTGGCCAGAAACCCACCTATCCTGTGCCCCAGAAGGGTGACATTCACCAATGGTGACAGCGTGCAAAGCCATTCCAACCCCTGCCCCATATAGCTTGAGATACTCCCTGCTATGTTGGCCACCTGAGCTGAGGCCACAGTTGGTAGTTTTGGTGGTGACTTGGGCCCAGCATCCACACAGGAACACCACCCCAACCCTGACCCCTACATCCTCCTTTTAGGCAATTTCTTCCATCTTTCAGTGTTTCCTTTCCAATCCATTTCTTGGGTACTTTCTTTGACTTGTCTGCTTGTTTCTACCCAGTGGCTGCCCAACACCCTTTCTTAGACAGTGTATTCACTTCCTTCCTGGTGTGTGTGTGTGTGTGTGTTTCCTATCTCACCTTCCCTGGGGGACTTCCTGAAGGCTGTGCCTGTTTCCCTCAGATTCTAGCAACCCCAAGGCTTAGGGAGAAGGATGACTGAGCCTGTCTTTCCTGTTACAGATGAACTGTGTGACCTGTCCCTCTCTTATTGAAACCCTAAATCCAGAAGTATACCAGAATACGACTGCATTTGGATAAAAGACCTTTAAAGAAATAAGTTAAAATGATAATGAGTGGGCTCTAACACCAAATGGTGTCTTTATAAGACAAAAAATTTAAACAAAGCTCAAATCAACCCCAAGCCTGGCAATTTGTTATCCCAGCCCTTGGGGAGGCTATGACAGGAAGATCAGGAGTTGGAAGCCAGTCTGAGCTACATGGCAAAAGGCTGTCTTTTAAAAAAGTGGAAAAGCCAGGTGTGGTAGCACACACCTTTAGTCCCAGCACTTGGAAGGCAGGTAGAGGCAGGCAGATCTCTGTGAGTTCAAGGCCAGCCTGGTCTACAAAGCAAGTTCCAGGCCAGCTGGGACTACAGGGAGACCCTGTCTCAAAAAGAGGAACAAGTTGTGATATAGCTCAGTTCATAGAGTACTTGTCTAGCAAGGAAGCTCTGGGTTCAATCCCAATACAACATAAACCAAGCATGGTAGGTAGTACATGTGCTTATAATTCCATCACTTGGAAGGATCAGAAGTTCAAGCTCATCCTCAGCTACATAGTGAGTTTGAGGACAGCCTAGGGTACATCATATCTTGCCAAGAAAGAAGAAAGAAAGAAAGAAAGAAAGAAAGAAAGAAAGAAAGAAAGAAAGAAAGAAAAAAGAAAGAGAGAGAGAGAGAGAGAGAGAAAGGGAGGGAGGGAGGGAGGGAGGCCGCTACTGCCACCACAGCCCTTTGACACCATGATCTCTCAGTGTTTAACTTCCAGAACTGTGATAAAACAAATTTCCATTGTTTAAACCCCTGTCTGCAGTGCTTTTCAGTAACAGCTAGAGAAAACTAACACTTCTCCCTCAAGGTCATTTCCTGTGTCCTTAGACCCAGGCTCCCTCACTCTGTGCATCAGCTCAGTCAAGTGACACAAGAAGGTTTACACAGGACCACACATCTAGCAGTGGGGTCCACACCCCAAAAGGAAAATTATTTTCCAGGTATAATTCCTGAATGCTACCCCATGCTCAGTAAGCTGCTTGTCATTTTTATGAGCAGTGGTCCATGTGACACATGTGGGGACTGTGGGTGGGTAGAAGAGCAGCACATTATAGAGTGAGCACTCTGTTCACACCTGGTTCCAATATCCACTCTGGCAAAGGCTGTGTAACCCCAGCTTAGTTAGTTCTTTCTTGCATCTGTAAAATGAGGATGATAAGTAATGGTCCCTAAGTCACAATTCTATTGTGGGGATTAGATTGAACTGATCTAAGTAAAATGCTTCTCAAAAGTCAGTGGCCACTAGTCCACAGTGTCTGTGTCTGGTAGCCAGTGGGTGGAGTGACTTCACCTATCAGCCTGCATATTAGTCATGGTGTCTTAGGCCACTGTCAATGTCTTTGTTCCCTATGGGTTGCTGAAGTAAATCTGTGACATTCACTGCATGTCACAGTGTAGCTGTCACTGTGCCTATATCATGGACTGTCATTGACTGAGTCTTTTTTCATTTATTTATTTTTATTTTATATGCCTGCATATGTCTAAGTGCATCCTTGTATGCAGTATCCATGGAAGTCAAAAGATGGAGTTGGATCCCCTAGAACTGGAGTTACTGATGGTTACTAGCTATCATGTGGGTGCTGGGAACTAAACCTGGGTCCTCTATAAGAGCAGCCAGTGCTTTTAGTGAGCCATTCTTCCAGCCCCAAATGTTTGCAGGTCAAATGTGCCTCTACCCTCAAATTTCTTTTCTTTTTTTTTTTTTGGTCTTTTTGAGACAGGGTCGCCCTGTAGCCCCAGCTGTCCTGGAACTCGTTATGTAGACCAGGCTAGCCTTGAACTCACAGAGATCCGCCTGCCTCTGCTCCCGAGTGCTGGGATCAAAGGCGTGTGTTGCCACGCCCAGCTCCCCCAAATTTCTTATGCCAAGTAATCAGTTTGGAAATAGAGTCATCATGGGTGCTCTTAGTTAAGATGAGCCCATACTGGTATACAGTGGTGGTTTGTAGCTATTTCCTCCAAATTGAAAGATTCCCTCTGCTCCAAGACTCAGGAAGTTGACAAAACTTATAAGGTTCAGGAAGGTCCTAAAACTTACAAGAGTCACTTCCCCCTAAAGTTATATAAACAATTGCTACAGAGAGGAGGCTCTCCCATCAGCCCAGCTGCCTGCAGGTTGTACAGTTCTCCAGAGATGTCACCCATGCTGGGATTGGCTCCTTGGAATACAGCTGCCTTTGAGTGACTGGTATTCCTGTAAGCCACTCCTTTCCCAGGCTCCTGAACATCACACCAGTCAATACACTGGTTCACTAAGTGGCACATGGGTGGCACCCTTTCTTTGATCTATCCTGAGTACCTTATCTGAGGTGAATAGACATTTGTTTGTGTCTACATACAAAAAGTCACACAGCAGGGAAGGCCCTTATCCAGTGTATGAGACAGTGTCATAGCACAGTCATTCACACAGTAATATATGAGGATGGAGGCAGAGATCAGGTGATCAGATCCACAAGATGAGGAACCCCAAAGATTACCAAACACCTACTACAAGCACTGTTCCACTTTAGTCTTCAGAGGAAGCAGCCTTGCTGGCTTGCCTCAGTTTTGACCTTTTAGCATCCAGACTCATGAGATGATCAATGCCTGTTGTCCACTCTGTAGTATTCTGTTATGGCTATCCTAGCAAACCAAGACACTGTGGGTTTGATCCTTGTTTGGTCACAGGTGCCTGATAATTTGAAAGTCCCACCCCTGCTGCAGGGTGCATGGCTGGGCTGCACTAGCAGCAGTTTCTTCCAGGTGGCGCAGTGAGCATCTATCAGGCATCTGTTGGAATAAGTGATGGGCACCCCGGCCAGGGGAACACCACTTTTCCCTGCTCAAAAGTCAGCTAGGCTGCCCCTTGTTGCCACCTCGGGGTCCAGGACACAGCCCTCCTCACAGAAGACACACTTCAGCTCACTCCCACCTCTTTGTGAGATTGCCCACTATTGTGCGGCATCTGCCATCAATATTTAGCATCCTTTCACCTCTTGATGGCAGTCCTCACGGCTCTTCTCCTGCCTTCGGTAAGTCGTCCTACACCCTCCCAGTAGGAAGGGGGGACAGGAAGGAGGTCCCCAGATACCTGAGTTGAAGGAGACAGCCTAGGTGTGGGGGCCCGGTAGAGACCTCTGAGGAATGAGACTTTCTTGGCTGTACCAAGCAGAGCTCAAGGGGACAGGGATATTTTGAAATCTCAGTGCAATTTATGACAGGCAGGCCGGGGACAAGGCTCAAGGCAGCATACAACTATGTGCCAGGCTGCTGGTTAAACCTCTGTGATATACAGCCTCTGGGATCCAAGGGCCTCTGGGATTCCAGGCTAGCGTGTGCCCCCAGCCAGGATGCTGGGCCTGCTGCGGCCTGTCCTGCCTGACCCAGCCTTCCCAGCTGTCCCCTCCTGAGTTTCAATGCTCCTGCTAAGCCAGGGCTCTAGTCATATTGAGGTATGGGCAAGTATGCGAATACACACAGGGCTCATCTGACTCCTGTTGCAAGCTTCACAGGCTAGCGCACGCACACACACACACACACACACACACACACACAAATCATACACTCCCCCCCCCTCTTTTTTTTTGGTCTTTTTGAGACAGGGTCACTCTCTAGTCCCAGCTGTCCTGGAACTCACTATGTAGACCAGGCTGGCCTTGAACTCACAGAGATCCACCTGCCTCTGCCTCCTGAATGGTGTGTGCGCCACCATGCCTGGCACAGAAATCATACACAGCTTACACACACATATCACACCATACACACACATTACTACCCCAATCACC